GGGAATTTTACCGGAGCTTTTGGGAGCCCCCTCATAGGTTAACATTCATAATTTCAGGCCATGGCAGGAGCTCACCCCCAACTTAAAAAGGTAATTTGCTGAGCAGCAATAATGAAAAACTCTCCCAATTCACAGAAACACTTCATGATATGTAATCTTCACAGTGGTGCTATGAATTAATGCTTGTACATTAAGAAAGAAGGCCCCGAGATGCTAAACTCCCTGTCAAAATCATGCCATAGCAACTGGCTGAGCTAGGGCTCAAACGCAGTCAACTCTGGCCTGTAAAACCTGTGTGCTTCTCTGCTATCATGCCATGGGTCATAACCAACTGCCTCAAGATCTAGTGGCTTCACCAGCAGCTCATTCTCATGGTTCAGCCCTTGGGATGAGGCCAATGTTAAGGACAAGTGTCAGAGGGCGTGACGTGAGTCCAAAGCATACAGTGAAAGGCCAAGAAGTAAGTTAGCGCAGACGTTGAAGACGTTTGTGGTTCTTCAGTCTCTCTGCCAGGCTGGCTCACTCACACGCATCTTCCAGGTTTCAGATGCAGCATCATCGCCACATGGTAGTCACTGGGGCTTACCAGTTTAAAAGTAGACTCTCTAATTGTTCAATCAGTTTATTCCTTCTTTTGCACATGCACATTTTATCTATTTCTTTGCTGGTTTCCTCTTCACCATTGAAATGAAAGATCTGGTTTTATCTTCACTGCCTAGATGAGTACTTGGCAAGTGCTGAGCTCTCGTCTGCTGCGTGAATGCAGGGGGCACAGGAAGAATCCCCTTGGTGTTCCCAGTTTGGGCCTTGGAAACAGGTATTTAGGCATAAGGCTGTGTTCGCAGCTATAAAGCATGAGCATCGTGTAGCTAGTGAATTAATGTGGTGAATTAACTGTTATTATAACACATCTCTTGCTCGTTTGTTGGGACTTTTGGTTTTCTGCCACAGTGTACTTTCCTGAAAACCAATGCACCGACAGGCCACCGTTCAGAGAGGACAATTATGCAAACCGTTGACATTTGCTTGCCAGCAATGGCTATCAAGGAGTCATTACTGTCCCCTTTCTCTTTGTCTGTAGGTGGTTCATCACGACCCATGCCGTGGGGGTGCAGGGCAGTGGAACAGCTTGTTCAGATTTAAACACCTTGCAACTGGGAACTATTTAGCTGCAGAGGTAAGCCCAGTGGACACAGTGCTGTTGGGTTCTCCAAAAGATGCTTTGGTTGTAGTGATAATCATTACATAATTTTAACGATCGCCTCTATGTTATCGATTGGTATATAAAGTATTATGAATTTATAAGTAATTCATCAAGTCTGAAAATAATTTTTTGCTGAATAATGGAAACAAAAACAATACCAGCACCAATGCCCTAGAGCTGGCTTCCTGTACTGTCAAATGGAATGGAGTATCTGATTCGCATATGTATATAATGTGGTCTATAATGTATGTGGAATGTTTACATGGATCAATAGGTAGTTGTGTGAACAGAACATGGGGGGATACATGGTTTAAAATCAAGCAAGGTGTGTGTCAGGGTTGTATCCTCTCACCATGATTATTAGATCTATATGCTGAGCAAATAATTGGAGAACCTGGCTTATATGAGGAAGAATGGGGTATCAGGACTAGAGGAAAGCTTATTAACAACCTGCAAAATGCAGATGACACAACCTTGCTTGCTGACAGAGAAAAGACTAGAAGCACTTGCGGGTGAAGATAAAGGATTTCAGCTTTTAGTAGGGAGGGCTTACAACGTAATGCAAAGAAAACTTAAATCGTCACAACTGGACCACTGTTATGAACATTGTTCTGAATGGAGAAAAGATGGAAGTTGTCTAGAATTTCACAATCTTGCTCGGATCTACAATCAATGCTCATGGGAGCAGCAGTCAAGAAATCAAATGACATAGTGCATTGGCTGAAGCTGCTGCCCACGGCGTCTTTAAAGTCTTAAAAAGCAAGGAGAGAACTTTGAGGACTCAGGAGTGCCCGATCCAAGCTGCAGTGTTTTTTCCAGTCGCCTCATATGCATGTGTAAGTCGGACACCGAATAAGCGAGGCCGGAGAAGAACCGTTGCGTGTGGATGATGGTGCTGGCGAAGAAGAGGGAAAGCACCCCGGACCGCCGAAAGAACAAACCAGTCTGCCCTGGCAGCAGTACAGCCAGCATGCTCCTTAGCAAGAGTGTCAAGACTTCGTCTAACATACTTTGGACATGTTAGCAGGAGAGACCAGTCCCTGGAAAAGGACGCCATGCTTGGTAAATGCGCAGTGAAAGGGAGCACAGTTCGTGACAAGGTGGCTGGGCACAGAGGCTGCCACCATGAGCAATTGTGACGATGCTGGTGTTCTTTTCTGTTGTTCGCCGGGTCCATAGGGTGGCTACGAATTGGAACCTGGCAACAGAAAACGTTTTCTTTGGCTTTTCCCTATCAGAATGTCTGCGCTGTACACATAATCAGTTCGTGTTGATGTAGGATAGTCCAGACAGTTCCAGGCTTGTCTTCACAGCCACGCTTACTGGTGGGTGGCTTTTATTGTTGAAGGCATGAAAGAGGAAGCGTTTTCTTCTGAGGTAGCAAGTCATCCTAAAGCTGTTGATGGAAATGGAGAAAACATACACAGGCCTTTCTCCCCTGTTGCGTTTTGACAGTCAGATAGATAGAACCAATATGATGTGAGTTTAAAAAATGAGTTAATTAAATTGTGGTTGTCTACTTTAAAAAGAGTCCTAAAAATATCCTTTGAGCTGAATGAAAATATCCATTCATGCTACTCTTTTCAACTTCTTTTCTATTTTTAAAAATAATTTCTTCTGGGACTCTAAATGAGAAATTTCTCTTGGCATTTTTTCATATTACTTTCTAGTTTGGGGCTTTGGAGAGGAGGAGGGGAAAGGAGGTGGGGTCAGAGTGAGGATGAAGCACGGGGGGAATAAGGTGTATGGAAGGGAAGTGGAGTCTAAATTTTTCCTAAGTGTATGACTGTGAATTCTTTTGACCTCTTCATCCTATTAATCTGCAGTATTTTTCTTCATGGTACCTACCACCCTCTGACTTGTGCATTGTGTTTATTTGCTTATTAACTGACTCTGTCAGTGGAATGCACTGGAATGCACTGAGTGCAGGGGTTTTGCTTGCAGTCTGCAGCAGGCCCTGGAACTTGGTTAGAATTCCATGAACATTTGCTGAATGAATGAATGACTACCTATAAAGACATTATTTAGGATTCTATAAGCTTAGAGAAAATCATAGGATTTGTGAACAGCATTTGGAACCTGTTTGAGATAAATTAATGTAAGTTCTGACTTCCAGAACTAATTGCTAATTTAGTTCTAACTCCTCCAAATGAGGATCATCCTAATATTCATACAAAAAGATTAATAAGATAATTAAATGAAGTTTAGTGCTTCGGATGATGGGTGGCTACTGGAAAACACCCAGTAAACGATTCTGACATGATTAATGGTATTTAATATGCAATCACATAGGACTTAGGCCCACTTTGATAAGCTTCTGATGTATTATATACTGCTCAATGAAATTAAAGGCGACTATGCAATTTATGGTTTGTTCACACCATAAATATTTTGAGGTAAGTTTTTTTTTAAAGTAAACTTTTGAAGCCCCATAGGAGGGAAGTTTGTCTAAAATAAGAGTTAGAGAAGCCCAAGAAGATGTCCTATAAAAGATAAGAAGTTAAGATTAAATTTTCTTGCATCTTCTCCCTGATTCACATTTCAATGTTTTTTT